TGCATGTGGGGCGTTCCATGGCCTCGGTCAAATGTCTCACTATCTCCTCTCGATCCCCACTAATGCCCATCACATACACTATGTCCTTCTCCCGGCGGCTCGGGAGTTGTCCTGATACCGGTGCAAAGATCTGTGCGAGGCCCGCCACTCCCACCGCACGCTCGCCCTTGCGCCAATCGAGAAGCAATTGCACTCTTTCAGCTGATGGCAGAGGCGGGATTGAAGTCGTAGTTGCAGAATTTATAGGAGTGGCTGGCGGGAGAATGCATGATATGATGTTGGCTACGGCCGCGTCTGGCACTGCTCGGGGATGTCTTTGGTTGCGGCCGGTCACGATGAGGAGCGCTGCGAACCACTGAATGCATTTAGCAGGTTCTTCCGGGGGCTCGCCAATGGAGTTCCGAATGGTATCACAGAGGGTTTTGGCACTGGCAGGGACCAAGATCATTGTGGCGGACTGAGGATCTAGTAAGGAATGTAGATCAGCACAACGTTCTCAGGGCAATCCGCTTAGGACCCCAATGCGCAAGATCGAAGGAGACTATCAACATGCAAAATACCTTTGCAAAGTGACGAGACAGTTATTCAAGACTAGGTAGTGGAAGCAGCAGCTGGTTGATCAGTGTTTGAGCGTGCACCGTCGTTCGCCACAGGTCGGAGTATGAAATTGGATTCATGCGCTTGCGCCACAAGGCAGCATTGGAAAGCGGTTTAGACGACTGTACATGGCATCTTGCTTGACATTGAAACCACAAATAATCTCATAACCGTAGCGACAAGAACGGAAAGTGCTGCCAATCATAAAATATAGAAAACGGAAGAGACGAAGCAGGATGAAGGGTCAAGATCGGAGGCTAACGCACGGAGAGCTCGAGGATTCGGATACGCTACCCCATAGCAAAATGATATGAAAGTGATCAAACTACGTGAGCAAGCTGGGTTTTGTATGGTAGGGCCCAGACCGACAAGAAAGACAAATCAGGACAGACACAGACGAGAAGGGCTTAGAGTCGAATTAGGGACAGACAAGTCCTCGGAAACGGTGCAAGCTGAAACAAAGCAAATGTGAACAAGCAGAGTGATATGCCCGCCAAATGTGGCTCGTAGAGACTACTGGATCAACCAGTTAAAGAGTGGCCCCTGCGCCAGTACAAAAGGCATGTTAACTCAAAACTTCCAATACGGATTGAAAGGATCCCGTATGATCGACACTTACTTTTTTTTCTTGGGCGTCACAGGGCCCTTCGCTTTCTTGTTGGTGGAGGACTAAATGTGGGAAGGTCACCAAGAGTCAATATGCATATATCAAGGAGTCTTACCTGAGAAGTATTACTTGGACCCGCTTGAGCTTTGCGTTTATTTCTGATAGGGGGATCGTCCTGTGTAGTCACCCGCTGTTAGTCGATGCAAGAGAAACCCAGGAACAAGATGCTTACGGAGACCACATTATCCTTCTTCATATTAGCCGTCCTGTTTTCACCCGTGGCCTCCATGTTCGTTCTGTTCTTCCTCCCTTCCTTCGGCGCTTTGAGGGGCTCCGGATTGACGTCCACGCCCGCCATAATCTACATCGGCAGCATGTTAAAATGTCATGCATGAATGTGGCGAAATCAGAGTTGGCAACAACACTTGCCTTAGCCGATTCAATGCCCCACACAGCAGCGTATACCGCAGATATACGCTCATGAGACTCGGACTCAACCAAGTCCACTTTTGTCTTTGTGGCCTCTTCATCGTCAATGTCCATATCATCCTCATCCTTAGCCTCATCCAGAGCATCCACACGACTCCCGCCAGCCTCGCCGTCAACATCTATAGGTCTGTAACGGTCACCACCTACATCTGAATTGGATCCTTCATCTTCTGAGTCGAAAGAGTCCCATCCTGGAAAAAGCGGGAATGGTGCAAGGACCGACGAGCCACCAGAAGTCGCGTTCCCGAGACCAGGAGTCTGAGAAGTGCTGGGACCAGATACCTGAACAAGAGCAAATGATCCATCAATATGAGCCAAAAATTGACGAATGTGTGACACACCTCTGCACGCTGTTTGCCCTTCTCCTGTGCGGTGAATCGGACACTATCTTGGTAGATCTCGGGCGCGGGTGTTATATCTTGGGCGAACTGCAGAGCCCACCTGAGTTGGCTCATGACTTTTGACACAATGTCATCACTGGCCTGATCTAAAATATTACGAGGCAATACTGAGATATGCGCGCAGGCCTCCTGAAAAGCCTTATCCCCTGCAAAAGCGGTCTCAAGTTTCCCTGTCACAACCGCCCATAACGCTTCAGACACCGAAGCACCCTTCAGCGCACATAGATGAAGCATTAATGATGGGACATCTGGATAAATGAGCTAGATAAGGGCGGTACATACTTTTGTGTACGGCATGGCTCCATCCGAAGAGATCTCAGTGATCGACTCTGACTCTGGACTCTCATCGCGCAAGACCTCGTTACGCTGCGTGGTCAATGAGATCGCAGAAAATATGTGCATGTTGATATACGCACATTAAGATGACCCGCTAGTGCGCTAGTCGAGCCCTCAGTTACAAGCAGCACGTCGGCAGGCGTCGCGGGCGGTGTGACTGTGAATGACCAGGAGTTAGATGCGTGCGGAAAGCTCACACAAAGAGTGAACATGAAATAGAGCTAACGGCATTGTTTGACGCCTCTATTGGACTTTACGGCTTCACGAGGAGGGGTCTTCATGACTGAAGTAAAGGGGGCGGAGAGAGCTCGTCAGCAGCTCTTCCTTCGACGGTTGGGTCCTTATATGCTCCCGAGCTACTGCCCAAAGAGGATACTCCAGACAGGCGGGAGTGACGTTGACGGAGATCTCTGCTCGTCAGTTCGAACGGAACACTTGCAACAGATCACACACCCTGCAACAGGATCGCATGAAAGTGAGGAATAACATGGCCAGAGTTTTATGCGGGCCCATTTCAACATGAAGTCGTTAAAAGGACACAGTTCAGGTCTTGGTTATCAGAGTAGAGCAGCCAATCCACATTGTCATCCCGCACCGGAGCACGGTCAGAGGGAGGTCGCACTGTCGGAGGGAGGTCAAGGCGGAAGTCAGTCAGAAGTAGCTCGGAAGTCCGATTGGCCTCGGATGGAAGAAGCCTTGAATTGTCATGTGATTTGCGCCACTTCTCGTGCATCTGTGGCCCAGTGGCGCAATCTAGACCATTCAAGAAGAGAGTCGTTGGTTTTCACTGTATTGGATCTTACTGCTCTGCTCGACAGTCAAATCGCCCAGCTCAAGATATCTACATGACCAAGAACACCAAAAACAGTCCCAAAGTCCATGAGCCACTGCGGCACCAAAGCGCTCACGAATACAATGAAGATACACAGCCTTCTCTATCAGCAGAAAATACAGCCCTTGTCTATGACACTATGATCATCGCCAGTACTATCATCTTGCCCCTCCAATCCCTCATGATCATTATCCCCTCGTACCCTCCCCATCTTCCCATCATCGCTACCAGCATCAACCATAATTTCCGAAACTGCCTCAACCCTCTGAGCCCCATATGCTGTTCCTTCCTCGAATGACATTCGCAAGTCCAAGATAAGCGGAGCCCAGATCTCGACCCAGTTATGGTGATTCAGAGATATAGGATTCCAAACAGGAGCCGGAATGGGCCAAGTGTCATCCTCCAGCAATCCTACGCGGATTTGAGTAAACATCGGGAGACATTTCGTTAAGAATCGACAGCTTTGCCGAGTGACCGTAAATATGTCCTGAGATGGAAATTGCGTGAAGCCGAGATGGACGATCTTGAGGGAACACCGTTGCCGGCGCGCAAACCAGTCGTCTGCTATGACAGGCTTTATACGGATGTCATTGTCGATTCGCAGGCACAAGCCGAGTTCGAGAAGGTGGGGGAGGTGGGCAACACAGTGTTCCACTGACTGCAAGCTGGGGCGACTACCTCCAATACTGGACGGATTCGGATTGAGATACAAGATCTCAATATTTGGAAGGGCATGTGCGATGGAAAGAACCTCCTGATCATCAAGCTCCATGGTATATGTATCGTATATGGTGAGCCTCGTGAGCGATCGCGCACTCGATATCGGTTGTAAAAGATCCCAGGTGAGCGCTGGGTGGTTATGGCTATGGTACGGCAATATCTGCGCCGTGTTTGCATGTAAGTTCAGCACAAGAGAGTGCAATGAGGTGCACTCGGTGCTGATGACTCCAGACAGGTGACGAATGGACGCTCTACGAGAGTCGGCATCGTGGATGTATCGGAAGGAGAGGTCGGTGAGCGAGGATGGGATTTCCGGCTGCGTCTGTAGAAATCTTGCAAGTGCGTCACATGACGATGCAACTGATAGCGAAGTGATGCCGCTGGACACACTGATGGGTGCAGTAAATTCCGCAGGCCAAGGAAATGAGTCGAATGAGCTGGTACTCGATGGGTCAATCTCGTTCTGGAAGAATGATGCATGAAGGGAAGTGAGGGAGGTTGTTTTGCGCCCAAGTGTCTCCAAAAACTCATGGCACAAGACGTGTGCGGGAAGAGTCAGAGATTTTAGACTGTGTTGCTCATGAATGAATGGCACAACAACATCGAGGAAGAATGAGAGATTGTCGGGACTCGAGGTTGCAGTGAGTGTGACGTTGTTCAAGGCGGGGTATGACCGTGAAAAGTGGGTAAGAAAGGCACCACGCGTGATACTATGCCCGGGTGTATCGACTCGAAGAGCGAGCCTCTTGATGCCTTTGCCAAAGACGTTCAGCTGGAAGACCTCGCTATTCAGATCACCGTTGAAAGAGACCAGGTCGGCGAAGAGCGGTCGGGCCCCATGTGAGGTACGTATCAGTCTTCTGGAGAGCTGGCCATGATCACGGCCTTGAAGATCATCGAAGAGATGACGAACTCGCAAGGTGTAGAAAGTGATTCGTAGGTATGCAGAGAGCTCCTGAGGGAGGGTTAAATTGTAATTTACATAGAAGAAGATCAGGTGTTTTACGCACCACAGGATCAACTCTATCAGTATTGGTAGGTGTCACATTCCCCGGAACCCCCCATCCTCCCTGACCTGTCTGTCCCCAAGAAGACGCATTGGCAACTTCCTCCACAACTACAAGGGAACGAGCCATGCACAAGACATCGGACCACTCGACAGTGGCCCAGAGTCCGTTAAGCGCCTCTTCAGACATGGAGCAACAGGTCTGAGCGAGACGGGCGCTTGACTTCTTGTCGAGATTTGCTATGACAAGACGTAGTGCATCCTCATTTAGATCCATGAGGGTGAGGGTCCTTGTGCATGGCATGAGTGGTGTGCTTCCCAAGAAAAGGTAGCATTGAAGGCATACCGCGGCTCGACAGCAAGAACTGTCCTCTCAATGTTGGTCGCGTTCATGGTGGTGGTTGGGGATCAAGAGAAGGTACGTGATATGGGGCTGGACTTACCTGGTAACCCAATGTCTATATCTCCAGTGCCACTGATGCGGATATCAATCAGATGTGTTCCGTTTCAGGAAAGCACATTGTCCCAGTAGTGATGGGCATCCCTCAGTCGAGATGTCGGTACGGGTGTAAGTATTAAAAGGGGCCAGAGATGGCATGGTCCATCTAAAGTTGATTTTGTTCACAGGCATTGGGGAAGAATGCATTGCCCGCTTTTCAATCTCTCTGCAAGTATATCTCTTCCAGTTTCCAATCCATAATTTCTTGGACGGTGTCACGGATTCATTATAGCGCAAAGACCATGTAAATACAAACATATGGGCTTCAAACAGGGGCACCAGGAACGTAAAGGCCAGATTGTCGTGTCCGCCAACGACGTCGTTCTCGTACCCGTAGATACAATCCGAGATGCCGGTGCTGTTCGAATCGTTGCATTCGTTCATGAGGCCGGCGAAGATATTGAGCCCCCAAACGGCGTAAGGGATCATATACACGATAGCCAGCATGGCTGCGTCAAAGATACGAGACGCGCCGGAAAGGACGAGCGACTCGAACGTTGCCTGCATCTTCTCGACGAGCGTGATGAGCCTCAGTGCGCGGAGCACCTTAAACGCCCTCGTGAACCGACTGAGCCCACGGATGAAGATGAGGCGCGTTGTGACGTTGACGACTATGCATGCCATGATGGCGAAATCGAGCACATTCCAGATACTACAGACGTACGCGTTCGGGGTGAAGAGGAAGCCGCCGGCGATGATATTGATGATGAGCTCGATGGCGAGCATGAGCCCTGATACGGCCTCTGAGAGATTGAACCATGAGCCGCGGTTGTGTCTGTATAGGTTGTAGAAATTGCGGCGGAAGATCGGGGTCGTGATGCTTTCGACGACGCTGCCACCGATGACGGTCAGGAGGATGGTGTGTGCCGTGGCGGACGTCGGCCGTCCGAATATCCATTCGCCGTCTGCGGGTCTGCCGACGGACTGGCACTAGCGACGGAAAGCGTCATTCTGCGAAAACACCCAGAACATCTTGGCGTAGGATGGATGGTCCCGGACGAGATCCGCCGTTTGGGCCCTGCGATCATGAAGCGCGTCATTCATCTCCTCTGCGGCAGCGACATTGTGACCAAACGAGGCGAGCAGCTCTTTGGAGCTCCCCCATCATGTATCAGCGATGACACACGTAGCGCCAATGAACAACTGCTGCAGCACGCTCAACGACTTGCTCGTTACGTGTTCCGAACCGCTCCTCTTCCCGTCCACCTTGCGTTTCTGATAACGATCCAAATTAATTCTCACCACCTAACGACGAATTGGATAGAAAAGCCCAAACTCACACTACTCATCCTCTCCATCCCCGGCAGTCCATAATCCTGCACCAACGCCTTCTACATTGGCAACGCCAAGTTCGACGGCAGACTCTCCACGACAATCGCCTTCGGAGACGGACTCAACCGCTGATAGGGATTGAGCTTCCTGACCCAGGTCGCCTTGACTCTCTGCGGCTGGTGGGTCGCCGAGTAATCGTCCGTCTGTCGGACTCGTTTCGATTCTTCGGCGATGTTGAAGTTCCCGTCGATGACGATAACTGTGGTTTCGTGCGAAGAGCGACGTAATTGTCCTCAGAACGGTTCGAGGAGAAGGAAGGTGACACGTACAAATCGCGAAGAAAAACCAAGCCGAAAAAAAACAGATGATCGCCGTCTGTCCGAGCCCCGACTCCGTGTCCGCCGAATTGTACAACACCGCCATCCAATTGTCAGACGAGGAGATCTGATACACCGCGAGGAAGGACGTGTAGATCTGTCTGAAGGTCATGTTATCGTCCGCGGTGAGGTCGCCCTGGAGGAGCTGGAGCGCGGCGAGGGCGGCGAGGAAGTTCACGAGGAGGAGGAAGAGCGTCATGTTCGCGAGACCGTACATGTCTCCGAACACGGAGAGCTATATATCCACACACGCACACACGCACACACGCAGCTCTCAGCAGAGGGCTCACAGGAGTGAGACGACAAGACGAACGCACCAATAAGGGCTTCATCCTCCGTATCTTCGATATCACCGGATAAAACCTCATCAACTAAAAGATCGTCAACCACGGATACACCTCCGAATCCCTCACCACCGGAATCTGATTCACACTACTGCCTAGCGCGAGCATGAGGTCGAGCCAATTCTGGCCCTTGGCAAAGAACGCCCGCCAGTCCGGGAAATGCATGGCGATGCGGATGAGGATCTCGATGTCGAAGGCGATTGTGACTCCAAGCACGCCGATGGTAAGGATGTCCTGGTGGGTCGAGTTCATGTCGATTCCTTTCGTCGCTTAGATGACAAGGGAGAAGAGCGCGAGGGCGACCCAGCACCAGCGGATGTGTTCGGAGAGGTGGCAGATGCGGTTCGGTTTGTATAGTGATTCGGAGGCCACCCAGGCGTCACCTTGTTCGTCTGTGATTTGGAGGCTAAGATTCACGATTGTGGGGATCAGAAAGAGGACGTGAGGGAGATGGGGTTGGATTTACGAGGTCAGTCCGGAAAATCCCGACGTGCTCAGGTGGCACTGCTGACTGACCCACACGTTCTTGTGGCCAACGACCACAACACGGGTATGATGCACTTATCTTCACATACATCCTTTTGTTAATTCCTTTCTATGCAGCACCTTGTCAATACTTTATTCTGCTAGTCCTCAACCTGTGCCCCTTATTAACACGGTTTGAACAGGTGGGCCATATCGATTTACATTGTTCACATTCAGGAAACAAACTCATTGTTACCTCACTTTTCTTCGTAGTATGGGACATTACAGGACTGCCCGAAGACCAAGAACTCGCTGTTCTATATCCACATCACTTGCCACATCACGCAAACTATTCCTCGACTTCGTTATCGACTCTTCTCGTCTCACCAACTCTCGCTATCTGACAACATCCAAGCTTGAGCAAGCAATCGACCAAGATCGAGACCGATACCTCGCATGGCGAGAGCATGCGCCTTCTCGTTTACACATCAATGGACCAGACGGCCCCTTTGTCGCAAGTCGTATTCTGACCAGGGGTGGGCTCTTCAGTGCACTTCTCTTCCGAGCCATCACATTCGGTGCGCCAGCTCTGTACGACCACCCGGGATACTTTGCGGATATGGCTGCCTGGCTCCAGTTTTACGACCCATCAAAACCCGCATCCTACTACTGCAAGACTACGGTTTACGGCAATGGTGTTCATCGTGGACCCCAGAATGCTGCGCAGCTCTGGGAAGCCAGCGCGTCTCTGCTGGAGATGCTACAGGGCTCAGAGCAACCGTCGTTCAACAACGTGTGGCACCATCTCGTCTTTGCAAGAGGAGAGGGAGGGTTGATGATGTATCCGACAGTCGGCAAGTTGATCGGTTATCTACTCTGTGTAGATTTGGTTTATGCGGGTGTGCTGCATGAACCGTCATCTCAGGAATTAGGAGATATTGTTGCAGATGTAGCCAAGGGAGCCCGAGATGGCATGGTCCGTCTAAAGTTGATTCGTGCACGGGCATCGAAGAAGAATGTATCGCTGGCTTTTCAGTCTCTCTGCATGTATCTTTCTTCTCAGTATAATGTCCCTCATCTCTCCGGCTGTCTCAACGGATTCATTGTAGAGCATGGATTGTGTAAATACAAACGCCTGGCCAAGAGGCACGGTAGACAGTATCGGCTTCCGTGATTTTGTTCTGGGTACCTACAGAATGCATCGAAATACAATTAATGTCAGTATGTTCAACTTACTTTTGCACAAGAGGGTGATTTGACATGAGTGGTAGTACGAGGAAGTGTGGGGAAAGAGTGTGTGGCCCATGCTTCAGCCAGGTGCCACAGAGGGTGCTTTTTCTCGTGGCCGAGGGTGTTCGGCCACGAGAAAAAGCACCCTCTGTGGCACTGGCGGATTTTGTGGCCAGCATCCAGACTGCCTTGAGCGAACCTTGACTCCCTCTCTGTCAGTCTCCTCACATACAGCTGACACTTCATCAGCAAACCAGTCAAGTCAGTTTTGACGTGTTTTGGGCAGTTTCAGGCCTTACGAACAGGGCGGAACTGGTAAACTGCCGAACTGAATTACAGGACTCCAAAGAACTACATATGTACTTATGCGACGGAGCCCTATGGAATGGGTGCGGATATATGCTAGTAAGCAAGACTGAACATTGAACAAGGAAAGAGATCAGCTCCTCCAATCGAAAAAGAAACACAGTATCAGTATAAGGTACAAAGTCGTACAACATGTGTGAATGTCCGCTCAAGATACTCGGGAGTGCATCAATATTGATACCACGAAAGGTGGGTTATCGCAAGCACATACCCATAAGGTCTAACAACAGGTTGAGAGCGCAGGAGTAACGCAATCCTTAACGTTGAAGCCTAGCGTTCGCCGATACGTGTGGTGAGTACGCGTGGTCTCGTGGAAGGGAGGATGTGGGACCGTCAGACCGGCGTCTTTGAGGATCTTGATCGCCAGTTCCTCCATCCCGTTCGTTTTCGCCGTCAGATAGGCGAGGGGGTCTGAACGTGTTCAGGTCGTAAGTTAAGTTAACAATAATGAAAAAGCAGAAAAAAAGTAAATGTGGGGATGTGAGGCTATAACTTACACATTCCGACCTCGCGCAGGATCACGATCCGTCCAGCGACATCCCCCGCGAACAGCGCGTTATGGAATCTCGACATCGGGTCTCCCCGCGCGCCCGCAATCTTCTTCATTTTCGACAGCTTGCCGGTGTTGCCCGTTGTGAGGTACAAGAACGATAGCCGGTCGAAGTTTTTCGTCTGCTGATACGCTTTTTCGACGATTTAGATATATTTCGAATCAGCCACGAGTGCACGACAACGATCAGCGAGGATGGATGGATGGCCGACCTTGTGGTTGCCCTGCTTGAGAGCCTGCTGCGCCAGCCTGTTCGGAACGGCATGACGCTGGCTTAGAGGTAGCAGGGGTAGAAGGGTGCCTCGATACTGGGAAGAGGGATAGTGGAAAGAAAACACGCACCTCAACGTTAAAGCAAACAATCTCGATCAAACACCCCATCTTATGCGAAATCGAATCTACAACCTCCATCAACGCCGCATCGTTGAACGTCTTCGAAATCCTACTCGGGTTCACCGCACACATCGCATAGTTGGACCTGTTCTGGGAATCACGCTCCACCTCATGCTGCATCGTGATTCCACGATAGAACAACATCGACCAAGGACGAGATTGGGAGCACGTCGGCGATGGAAGCGAGCGCGGAGTACTCTCCGAGCGAATTTCATGAAAGTGAGGAGACGGAAGGGAAGGGAAGGGAAGTGGAGGGAGGGAAAGTGAGAGGCGGCAAATGCATACAAGTCAGTACACAAAAGAATGGTACGGTTGTTCCACGTACCTATTTGCCCTTCAACCTAGCTGATTTCCTCTTCCTACCCCTCTCTACCTCTCTCATCCTTCCATCTGAGTTTCGGAGCGAGTTCGTCGTGGCGCGGTGTGGGGGTGCGACAGATCGTGGATTGGGTCGGAGAGGATGAGGGTGCTGTGTGGCGGGAGGGTGTGGATGGAATGGGGGAGCTAGGCTGGGTGCGCGACGGGGATAGCCTAGGCGGTGGAAGTCGATAGGGCTGCCCAGGACGACGCGCTTGAAGGGGGGCATGTCGAGAGGGCGGGAGAGACGCGGGGTCTTGACGTTGAAGCCTAGCGGTCGTTGATACGCGTGGTTTCGTGAACAGGAGGAGGTGGAAGGGAAGGGAAGTGGAGGGAAGGGAAGTGAGAACAGGTCAGTACACGAAGGGACGTCAGGGTTGTGGCACGCACCTGAAGCCCATTCCCTCTCGCCTCTTCGTACCGCTCTCTACCTCTTCCATACTCGTATCCGGGGTTCTTGTCGAGTTCGTCGTGTGGTTGAGGCGAGACGGCGGCGGCGTAGACGAGCCGTTGAGTGCGCGTTGATGTGAGCAGCAACACAACGCGTTCGACGAGCGAAAGCGACGAAATTCAAACTCCGCCGGCTTTCACCGGCGCGCGGCCGCCTTCAAAATCGTCGAAATATTCATGGATGCAATTCGTTCCCAAATTTGGAAACGAATTGAATCCATTCTGCCGAGCATCCGAGTTTGCGGCACTTTTGACTCTCCGCTTACACTTCGACGCCTACTCGCGTTCGTTGATCTCGCCCAACTCCATCGCTTCTCGTCTACCTCCGTCGTCCTGTGCCTTCGGTCTTGACCAAGTCTGCTCTTGCTGTTCTGCTACTCTCTATTCAGTCTTGGTGAGGCTTTGTCCTGCTATCGTTTGTTATATCTGGCTATCTAATGAAGCTGCTTTTCTGCGTCTAGCGATGACACTGACCCGTGCGCAAAAGGATCGAAAGAATCTATGTGCTGCAAGGTGCGCCGTGATAATATTTTGCTCTAAATACTACTGATACTATTTGCTTAACCTATAGGCTTCGTGCATCAAAACGCGATCTTTTCAGAAACTTGGATGCATCACAAATTGTAACTCGTGCGCACAAGGATGATACTCGTGCCGCCAAAGTCAAAGAGAAAGCCAAGCTCGCTCGCAACAACAAACTCGAGTCCCCTTCTCCCCCTCTCCCTAACCCTCCAACCCGAGTACTTTCACCTCCGCCTATTTCTCCAGCCCGCGAACCTTCACCTCCACCTGTTCCCCCGCCCCATGAACCTTCGCCTCCGCCACCTCTCGCTCCTCCGCATCCAAGTATCTGTTCGACCTCAATAATAGGCCTTCCTGCCGGCACTTGCATACCACCCCGTGTCTATCCTATACTTCTGGAACTCAAGGATAAACTCAGAGAGTTCAGGATGGATTTAGGGAAAGATGGAGTGGCAGAGATGTATGAGAAATTTCAGGTTGACAGCCGTACGTTCCTCCACCTCTGGCGTCTCGATATACAGGCCACTCTCCGGGATTCGAAATGTATCGACACGACACGGCAAAAGCGCGACCGTTGGTCCGCAGTTTGTTCACATGGACAAGCTGTATTGAAAGAGTTAGCGGGTGTTCTTGGTCTTTGGGTCCCACCTTTGTCTCTACGGGGTATGCTCAGGTGGAATGTGCGCAATGTAGAGCCCCTTCTTCAGTTTCTGCAGCTCTTGGTGCTGTTGATTGAGGAAGAAATGCTGTCCTGGCTCACGAAAGGCCAATGGGTGCCGTCGTCAGACAATTCGGTGAAAGACGCTCTCATGAAGGTGATCATGTTGCTCCGTTAGTGTGGTATATGATGCTGAGTGATATGTTCATCAGAAAATAACCACGGTCGGCTCTAATGTCATGTTCAAGAGGAATCACGACGAGTTCACCCTAAGGTGTCTTCTCCCTGGCGGCTGGCTTACAGGCGATGTCATCAACTTTTTCTGTGGTTCATGGCAGCCACCTCTGAGTGACCGAGTCGCTATCTTCAAGACAGGCTTCTGGACGGTTTGTCTAGGTCGTCTGGTTGAGAAGCCTCATGTTGAGTCCTTGAAGGGCAGCAAGCTAGAGGCTGAATGGGAGCATGTTTTCCAGTACCGTGTGGGTGGCGATCGACGTGTGCGTATATATATTCAGGATATATATTCTCTATACTGATTTATCTGCCTTCTCCAAGATTGACAGGTTGTCAGCGCGCCTGAAAGATGCACAAGCACCCACCAGGTTCATTATCCCAATCCACGACTGCGAGAACCACTGGATTGTGGCCCACATCGACATCCCTGGTAAATCGATCATTTTGTACGACAGCTTTGAGCCGACGTATAATGCCAATAAGGGTATCAATGATAGGACCAAAACTGTGCATTGGAAGTATGTAAAGGTATGTTTCGTGATCGCGCTTCCCTACATAGATGCCCATTAATATCTGGATCAGGTTTTGTCCATGTTTACGAGGAAGGTTATGAAGGCTCTGGGCTTAGGGATTCCCGAGTTCAAGTTCTGGACAATTGAGCCTCATCAGGAGGTAAGTTCACTTTTGAATCTCTTTTCTGAATTTGTCGTCAATGCTCAGACCTATTAGGTCCCCTTCCAAGCTAACGGGTTTGATTGCGGTATATTCACCCTCCTATTTATCCAACATCTTCTCCATGGCTCCCTTGATGCGGAAGGAGTGCCTCTGGAATACCGATTCAACATGAAGGATCCCAAAGGACGTGTGGCGGGCGATTTATGTGGCACAAGGCTTGCATTGGTGGAGGAGCTACTGGGTTATGCTGAGCGTAAGGATCCAGAACGCAAGAATGTTGGGGCTGCTGATCTTATTGAGATTCCTTCAGACTCTAAGGATGAGTTGTGACGTTGACTACTGCAGCAATCTGATTTCATTTTTGTTTTTCGTGCGTCTTTGGTGCAATTTGAAATTATCCTCTGAACCTCCTGGACGTCCAGGAAGGTGCCACACTGGTGCCACATGACGACTCTTCATCCCACGATGGCTGCTATCATGATACGATCTCTATTTTCTCATATCTCTTTCTCTCACCTACTATCTTCTAGCCTCCTGCGATTGAACTCACTCAGCCTATTGAGCATTAAGGTGCGTCTATTACCACTGCTGAGGTATATCGTATCGCTGATACATTCAACTAGATGCGTCCCTCCCATCACAAAATATCTTCCAAACCTAAACTACGATCTGTCCAATCATACAACTCCCAATCCTCCTCCACTTTACCCCTCATCACTCAAAAAATCCAACACAAAGAGATACAACGACTCAACAGCATTGCGCACGGACGTACGTACCCTCATCTGGCGTATCAACCAATCGTCCTCACAGTTCGTGTGACTGACCTACTTCTGAACCATTCCAGTCTTCGAAGCATTCCCCATCATCTTCATCGAACGCCACAACCTCTCCATCTCCCAAACCGGCCTCATCTTCCTCAGCCTCGCAATCGGTGCCTCCCTCGGCGCCCTCCTCAACCACTCTTCACTGTTGAGATGTATCACAAAGTGCGTTCCGCCACCCTCCCAGCTCTTCTTCACCACTCACCAGTTCTTAACCGAACCGTCTGTTTCGTACTTAGCTCGGTATAAATTGGGTGTCTACACTCATCGCCGGGATCGCCCTCGTACTTGCGCCGATACCGTTCTTGTTCTTCAAGTATGCAGCGAGGATTAGACAGGGGAGTCGGTTTGCGCCTTGTACGGTATGATTTGTTCCTTTTCTTCTTGGCAGAGTTTTGAGTGGTGCTGATGCTGTGCGTGGTCGACAGCGATCTCCTCCGGTGAACGATTCGGAGCACGCATATCGTTCAACTGTCGGTAGTTCTGGCGCGGCTTTCGAGGGCTTCTAGGTGTATCGTCGGGATTAGCATGAGATGAAGTCGTTGGTTTGGGTTTCTGCATGATTATCGTCAGTCAAGCGGAAGCAGGAAATCTTAATTCAGGAGAAATAGATATAAAGTACCTTCAAACTTGCCCCACTTCCCACCTTTTTCTTTTTGCTCTTTCCCAGCATGGTGAAGCGAACTTAAGAGATCACTGCTAGCAAAAATTTGGAGTGTATGGGCCGGGGTACCTGAGGATATAAAGCGTAGACTGCAGGCAACTAGGGGGCGAAGGGCACGCTGATGGCGGTCAACGAAGGAAAACGCGTCCTGGACATCATTTGGTGAGAACGAACGACGAAGAAGCGCCGGAGACCGCTTTAGGAAGGCCTCCGGTGCTTGCCGATCAGTTCGCGTTTAAGCCCCAGCCGGACCCTGCCCCCTCCCCCTTCCGGTTTATTATTTCATTCATGCTGCTCCTTTGATTGTACAGCACGGGCCAGAGCGACCTAATCATTCCAGCAAGACATACCAAACTGTAGGTTGCTCACGGCATGATTATCGGGACCACAAGACTAATATTCTACACGCCAGGAGGATACTAATATGTGTACTGGTGAGGCACATGACGATACCACTTGGAGAGATTTGGACAATATGGTGGGTGAAGTTTTTATTCGGTTTATCTGAATCGCTAATAATGTGTACTCCCATTTCCTAACACACACGTACCAATTGCACCTCTACCTTTCTCAGGATACCAGCAGTGCTGCAGAATTCGATGAGCACAGCGGCACTCAGGCACCTGGAGGTGCGCAATCCATAATTTCTCGGTTGATGTCCAGCTCATACCTGTACACGATCAGCTGACCCCCAGGACTCAATGAGTGCATCGCCAAACACTGACTTGCAAGAATT